TGGCTGTTGGCTGTGTCACATTGGAGTGTGGCTTCCTTCTACAGCTTGGGTTTGATGTTCTCTTCTTCTGAGCCTGCTTTACCACCTCCTCCCCTCTCCCAGTGGGATCTTTGCCCAATGTCTTGCCCTTATTGTTTCCCCTTGTCTGCCTAGTCATTCTCTTGGTGAAGACTGGGGCTGTATTGGCTCTTCTTGGTGGTGGTGGTGGTGGTGGTGGTGGTGGTGGTGGTGGTGTGTGTGTGGGGGGTATCTGTACCGGTCTGGGTTATACACACTGACTAGATAGGGCTCCAGGACTGCAATGCCTATCCTCTATCCACATGTGTCTCTTCAGCTGCAGGGGAGGCGGGCTCTGGACCCTTGGGGAGCCTCACTGTGGGCTGATCGTCACCAGCCTTCATAACCACAACGTCAGACTGTGGGAGTCTCTTGCCTACTTCTCTATTTGCCTGCCCAGGAATCAGGGTCCTGTTGCCCCTGTGCCTTTCCTCAGATCGCTGGGGGCAGCAGGCATTACGCTGCAAGGGGGCAGCCTTTGCTGCATTCACTTCCGGGAGCCAGGTGTGCGGTGCGAGAAGGTTCTGTTTCTTCGCTGGGCCCTGCGGTTACTCCCACAGCTTGCCCCATGCTGCTCCGCTCATTCTCATGCTGCCTCCACCTCTTCCAGGAATGGAGGTGTCACTTCAGTCCCTGTGGAGTCCTGATCTGCCAACCCAGCTTGGACTGAGATGTCCCTCTCCTTTCCTATCTTTTTCCCTTTGACATGGACTTAAGTGAAGTCACCTTAGATCAGCTGCCTCTCACAGTGTCCCACCCACAGAGACCCGGAGCAGTCTCAATGGTAGTGCCTTGCACTCACTCTAAGCACACTGCTGTTGCTATTTTTTTAATTTCCCACCATAAGCTTAAAAGGCATTGGCAGAGGAAATCTGTTTTGGTTAAGTTTTATAAACTAGTGTGTTACCAATAACCCCTGTTCCCCACTATAAAAATACTATGTGGTCCAAAATTCCTTTTAAATATCATAATACTAAACTTTTCCAGAGCTCCAATCTCATAAAGTACCGACAACATAGTTTTCAAAAATCCACATTGATTTTTAAAGGAGTTTGGCACATTTGTGATTTAGTTTGTTTTATGTTCCCTTAGGGAGACCCAGAGGCCCACAGCCCTCAGCGCCTCTCAGTCCCCTTTGCTTAGATAACAAGGAGACCATGATGCTTGCAGGGATGTTTCCTGCTTTATCGTGAAGCTGAGAGGAAAAGAAAGTCATCTCCTCAGAAGCGGTTCTCCTAAATGGAGGCAGGAGGAGACCTAGCACCATCCGTTTCTGTCAGGATTGGGGCTCTGGGCCAGCTGGCACCTGCAGCAGGGGTCACTGGGTTAGGCTCAGATGTGAGAATGAGCCCTCCCCTTCCCAGCGTCCCCACAAAGGCAGCACCAGGCCCAATGTAATGTTATTCAGGCCTTTACTGTGCATGCAGAATCAGACGGTCAACACCAGTAAGACTTGGTGGTTTCTGAAGGGGTCTTCTCCCATTTGGTCTCCAGGGCACAGGGATGGTTTTGAACTATAGTCCACCAAGTGTGGAGTGGGAGAAAACTTATTCAGCTCCTTGCATGTTCCACATCAGCCCAAGAGTAAAAAGAGTGACACACAGGCTCCTGAACTGATTGAAGCCAGGGTCACGTTAGGGTTATGTGTAACTCGGTGTCCGAGTGGACAAGTGGAAGGTTGGGGAATTGGAAGCTCTGGCTTTCCTGCATGCTGGCTGAGGGAAGGTCTCTCTGTACCTTAGGGTCTAAATGGCTCCCAAGATGTCCTGGGCTTGCCTTTGATGATTGTGTCACAAGATGGTTGTGGGGAATAGCTGTTGTGATGCCTGGCAGTGTCAGTGTGAGAGGCACTTGTCATCATCCTCACTCTCTGTGGCTTGGAGAACTGTTGAGATACAGCAATAGCTTCCGGTCCAAACACTGAGAATGATGGAATGGGGTTGGACGGCATCTGTGGTGGTGCTTACTCCAGGCAGCTCCTTTTTTGGAGTAGGAAAATTCCACTTACTCTTATTTTTACCCCTTAAAGCAGGACTGGACAGAGATGGGACCCTGGCCCAGCATGCAAGAGGAATAAACCGTGGCAGCTCCTCCCAGTGTGGGCTGAAACAGAAGGAACCCAGTTATCTGGCATGTGGTGTCCCAGATTTGGAGCTGGTTCCTGCAGTGAGAGTCTCAGAATAGTCACCTTGAAATTGGCTGAGGTTGGGTGGTGAGAAACTCCCCTAATCAGACCTTTAAAAGTGTGTTTAAAGCCAGAGAACACGGCTCTCTCAGTTCCCAGCCCAGGAGGCAATTGTGTGGGGCTCTGAGTTACAGGGTGGGCCTATACCCCGGCATTGGCACCTGCACACAGATGGGGTGACATAGTCATTGACACCTACCAGAGAGGTCAGGTGTAGGCTAGTGACACCTTTTGAAAATGAACTACCTTGGTGCGATTTCATGTTAGATGATCATAACCAATAGTCAGAGATAGTTGACAGTCATTCTTGGGACAGCTTCATAGGCCAGCCTTGGTGCTGGCAATGTATGGTTGGAGAAAGTAGACCTGTAAGAGAATAATTTGGAGTTTAGATATCAAACAGACACTTTAAGTCTATATTAAGTACTTGCCTGTATGTTGGCAGCACACACACTAAAGTTGGCAGAGCCAAGAAAATGTCTCATAACCCTTGGGCAAAGATAGCATTTACCATGAAAAACAAATCCGTGTTAAACATGAAACTGGAATTTTGTTATATCCTGAAATTTTTGGTAGTGAACAATGAAACTTCAAAGTATCCCAGGATCAACAATGCTTTTACTTCTCAGAAATATTCAGGTCAAGGATGCTTGGCTGCTGAAGCCTGGGCAAATAGTTCTGAACTCAAGCTGTTGTGATCGCTGGAATTTTGTTACTAGTATTTTCAACTTAGGATCCTGACCTCAGAGCAGAGATGCTAGCCATGCACCAGCCTTCCCTTTTCGGGAAATGGTAGAGGAGAAGTGTTCTGTGTTAATTCAGTAGCTTACTGGACCTGGTTTCTCAGGACTCAGGTGTCTCTGTTCAGCAGTTACCAAATGGTGAGAGTGTCCCATTCAATCCTGGACTGCTTTCTCATAGTCTGCATTCCCAGGTCCCTGGCTGGATTATCTCATGATTAAACTTCAGGGTTCCCTATAGTTGGCTTTTGTTTCATGATTTTGCTGAAATCCTGGAGCCTTCATGCAAGTCTTTCACCCATGGGTGTGCTTGGAAGTGAAATAGGAATTGTGTGTTCTGTGTCTTGGGATGTAAGTGATGTCAGAGCTGTCGGAGGCCTTTGGGCTGGAAGGTGGCACATTCCTCCATTTGGAAGCGGTGGGATGAGTCTGATAGCCCTTCACTTGGGGTCATGACACCTGTGAAGCCAGCCTTCTGTAAAGTGGGCAAGCCCTGAGAAGGTTCAGTCTGTTTCAGCTGCCTGGAGGCATCTCTTGTGGCAGGGTCCGAGTGAGTAGACTATGTCTGTGGATGGAGGGTCACAGAGAGAGTCCTCGAATATGTCTGGAGAGGTGGAGGCCAGGCTGCTGCTGTAGGACCTTTCAAGATTCCCATTCTTTGCCTCTTGCTGTGGAGACAGTTCATCAGAATGGGGACAAGAGCATGAGACCAGACTGCCCAGAGCAAGACAGCCCTGCAGTTTCCCTCTATGGGCACAGGGCAGGGGCTGCTAGGATGACTGGGTGGCACTTCCGGGGAGATGCCAGCACGAGTGTGTGTCCATGTATTGCAGTGTTGGAAGGCTTCATTGTGTTCTGTCATTGAATGAGTTGAAAGTGAGGAAAGCAAGCAGAATTCCTTGTTAAGTTAGTTGCACACAAGAGAGGGCTGTGTGTGTGTTCACATTTGTGTGTGCTTGTGTGGGAAGGACAGCCAGTCCCTCTTGGCCTCAGTAACTTCTCATTTAATGAAGGTCTTAGATACTTTGGCTTGGTGTGGGGATATAATTATTCAGCTTTGAGGAAGATGAAGTGGCCCAGACTTGAGATTAAGGCAGAAGTGGCTCTGGAAGGTTCTCGCAGGCTTGTTTAGAGTTTAGTGGGTTCATTGGGTTCCTGTGAAGCATCTGCACAGAGGACCCAAGGTGAGAGCCAGGAGCTGATGCACACCCACAGTTAAGACAGAAGCCCTTATCAGAGTGCCTAGAGGGGCTTGAGCCCTGAGTGTCTTAGAGCAGATTGTCTTTGGAGATGGCCTGTCTCCACTGTGCAGACCTCAGAGTCCAGCCCTGGGTATGTTCGGGGGCCGGCCACCTTTGGGCCTCCCTCTGCCGATCTTCCTTTCTTGTTGTCCCTACATCCCAGCAGGGCCCCAGGCGGCTTCTCGCTAACCCCGTGTGGTCTCTAACCCTGCTTGTCAGTTGGCTGCACCTCTCTGTCTGGACTGTGCAGTTCCATCGGTAGCTTTGTCTAACGTGTGTAGTAGTCGGGCATCCTTCCCTAACTGTGACCTGTGACTCCGGAGACACCATCCTCATGCTGTTGTATGTTTTCCTCCCAAGCACTGGGTTTCCCTTGAGGAGAATGCAGGTTCTCAGGTGCTGCTAAGCATGAAAAAGCATTTCTGGGTTTTGTGAGCCCGCTCTTGCCCGTTTGCCAGAGGGTGAGAGAATCTGTCCATTCATGTATTAAGTTCTACATGAAAAGTCTATGCTCCTCTGCCAGGGTTTCTGGCATTGCAACAGGAGGCCGTGCCTTCTAACCAGAAGGGAGCACGGGTTCTTAAATAAATGTTCAATCAGAGTTCAGCTCTAAAATGCAGCGCTTGTGGGAGACATCTAAAATCTACTCTGTCTCCCAGCCAGCTAGCCCCCCAGTGGCCAACTGGCCTAGCGTGTATTTTTCCGCAAGTGAAGCCCGTGTCTGTCTGCCCCCCAGCCTCTGTTTCCTTCTGTAATGGTGTGTTTTGTGTGTGGCAGGTGGCAGGTTCAAGAAGGAGATTGTGGTTGATGGGCAGAGTTACCTGCTGCTGATTAGGGATGAAGGGGGCCCCCCGGAGGCACAGGTGAGTATTGCATGCACATCCAAGCCACTGTCTTTTGCTCTTTGATGAACAAGAAATGTCAAGTATTGGGATTTAGAAACCCATGATGTTTGGGTCTTTGTGACTGATTTTTTAAGTTCATATCTTTTTAAAGAAGGAAGGAAAACCATCTGCTGTGACATAGGTCACATAGGTCAGGGTGGCTTTGGAAATTTCTGTGCTTTTACAAAATTGTTCCTTGCCTCCCTCCACCCTGCTTGGTTTGATCCCAGAGTAACATTGTTTTCAAAGTCCACTGGGTGGAGTTGGGAAGCTAAGCACTTGCTGTTTCTGGCAGTGACAAGAGTGGGCATCACTACACTCTCAGTAGCCTTCCTGGCCCACACCAGTCCCCACTGGACACTAGTTTGCAGTGTTCTGTGATTTCCTTAGAACATCTCTAGAAAGATGACATCACCACTTTTGTCCAGCTTACTGTTTTACTGGCGCCATGATCTTCCAGTTTGTGAAAAGAGCCAAGACCTAAGCACAGCCCTGCTAGGGCAGACCCCACAGGACATTTCTGTCTTGAACATCTTTCCCTGTAAAAGTTGAATTACGCAGCAGTGGTGACTAAGGTAGATGTTGCTGAAGAACCAGGTACCCATTGGAAATGCTGAGTTGCTGCATTCCCGTCACTAACACCAGCGTCTAGGAGAATGCTCTCGGGGACACTATGAAAAGCACTTGGAAGGTACAGTCAGAGATACTGAGATGGGATTATTTCCCCTTAATATCATTGATGCAGTAGCTTCTCTTGCTGATGCTGTGATAAAATGCCCTGTGAAAAACAACTTAAGAGAGAAAGGGTTTGTTTTAGCTCACAGTTCAAGAGCATAGTCAGTCCATCGTGGCTGGAAGTCAGAATGGCAGGAGGCTGAAGCAGCTGGTCACGCTACATCTACCTTCGGGAAGCAGAGGGTGATGCTGGGGGGCTGCTGCTCAGTCCCCTTTCTCCACTTGTACCATCCAGGGTCTCAGCTAGGAAATGGTGCCGCCCATAGTGGGCAGGTCTTCACACCTCAGCTCATTCAAGGTAATCACCAACAGATGGGCAGAGACCATCTCCCATGTGGATCAAGACCCTGTCAAATTGACTTGAACCATCACAGTATACTTGATTGTAAGAAGAACAGAATAGTGAAGACACATTGAGAGTGAAAAATGTTGGTTGCATGGCAGTTAGATGGCATACCCCCCCCCCCACACACACACTTAGCACCTTAGCACCTGCTGCTGGATCACAGCGGCCTTTGACGTCTGACCAGTGCCGCCCAAAGGCAAAATCTCTGCTCTTCGCTTGGCTTGGCATACGAGGAGTGCATTCTGCTATAAGAAGGGCTCTCAGTGTGGGCTCTCTGAGAGGGGACACACCTCTTGCTCCTAGTACAGGCTCTTCTTAAGCAAGCGGTATTTAGCCCACAATTCCCCTGGCTAAAGACTTCTCCATGGAACATCATGGCAGAGCCTTGTTCACCTGTGGGTGCAGTTTCTTTCTTTGCATTGTTAGAAATCATTAGATAGACTCTACCTGCAGGCAGTGGCCTCATAAAAGAAATTGACAGGGTGCAGAAGCTACTATTCTATTACCCTTTGCTGTTCCCCCCCCCCAAATTGCAATTTTCTGAAATGATGGAGAGAGAGAGAGAGAGAGAGAGAGAGAGAGAGAGAGAGAGAGAGAGAGAAGGGGGGACAGGAGAGAGGACTTGTTATCCTCTACATATAGATTTCAAATGAGGGGCTGCCATCTCCCCCTGAGGCCACTTAGCCCTCCTCCTGTGCTGGTATTCAGGACAAGGACCTTCCATTTTCCACCTCCGGAAAGAGACTGTTTCTAAGCTGCGTTTCCTGTGATAAAATTCACTGACAACATAACTTAGAGAGAGAGGGTTTATCTAGGCCAGGATCCCAGGGCGAGTCACATGACATCCACAGTCAAGGGCAGGAAGCAGGGGGCTGATACAAGCCTTTCTGAACAGCCCGGGGACTTACACCTAGAGAGTGATTCTGCCCTGCCCGCAGTGGGTGTGGCTTCCATCTCAATCATCATGATCAACACAGTCCCCATAGGCAGGCTCAGAGGCTGGTCTCCTAGGAGATCATGGGTTTGTCAAGTCGACAGTTGACATAACCTGGCAGGGAGAAGAGAAAGATACACTGTCAGACGGACCCCTGTGCGTCCACCACCCTGCCCGCCCTGTACGTGGGGCTGGGTCAGTTTCTGCAGGTCTGCCTCAAGAAAGCTTTGTTCCAGAGTCATTTGAACTTTGTATGCATCATTCAGTATGAGGGTGTTAAGTCTCTTGTGCAAATAGTCCACATTTAAATGAATACGGTTTGTTGTAGGTGGGTGTTAACTTTTGTTACTTTATTACACAATGATGTATTGAGAGCCCTGCCTTGGCCATAAGCACTAACCCAGGATAAGTTTCTTTTCAAGAAGGGGCTCTCTTGTTCCTTTATACGTGTAAAGAGAAGGGTGTGAGTACCAGCCTCAGACAGTACCTGGAAGCTGTCCTATCCGCTTTGTGCGAGTGGGTGGCTGGGCGCTGCGGGGAGCCCCACTCCCTCGGCTTCACCCTCCCTGAGAGCTGTTGTAAGATGACATGAGAGGACTGGGTGTAGATTACCCTTACAGCTCCCCTTTTAACTTTCCTAAAAATAAATAGTAATTTCCCAGCAGGGAGCTCAATGAGTTTGGTGGCAGCTCAGCCTCTGCTGTACCAGGAACTCACTGGAAAAGGCACCATCCATCTCGGGTGGTGGGCAATGCGCGCACCGGGAGAGTTTTAAGCTGACTGTGTGCCCGCAGAGGAACAGTGCCCTCCAGTCCACTAAGTCTTTTCTTAGGTTCTGAGGAGGCTCTGTGGAACTGCCCCTACCATCACACACACACGCACGCACGCACGCACGCACGCACGCACGCACGCACGCACGCACGCGCGCGCGTACACACACACCTGTCCCCAGATGGGGAGGGGCCCTTCTGTCTGCAGGATCAGTCAGGCCAGATCACAGTGACAACAGGACTGGGGTCTCAGAAAGTGAAGGTCCCTGGTGGGAACATGGGGAGGGGTGTCCCAATCCCATGTACATGACTTCAGTTTCTCAGCCACAGTGAGTGGCAGCAGAGGTCAGGCAGCAGCCTAGGGGAACCCTGGCACTCCAGAGGTGTGGCCCTGCTTCTCCCCCTGCACCCCTCAGCTGCCCCTTCCCCCCCTCTTCTCTCTGCAGTTTGCCATGTGGGTGGATGCTGTCATCTTTGTCTTCAGCCTGGAGGACGAGATCAGTTTCCAGACTGTCTACCATTACTACAGCCGGATGGCCAACTACAGGAACACCAGCGAGGTCCCTCTGGTGCTGGTGGGGACCCAGGGTGAGTGCCAGCCCTGCACCCGTGTTTTTGAAGGGATTTGGAAATGACCTGAAGCTGGAAATGGAGGTTGAGGCGATTCCTGATTGGTTCTGTGGAGAAGTCAGTCAGCCTCAGACAGAACTCTGCCCTGCCCCATACACAGCTCAGGGGCTTTAGGAAGGCCCACTCCCTCATGCTTTCTTCATCGTGATGCCTTAATTGCCTTTTGCACTAGACACCTTTTAGTCAAGTTGCTATTAATTTATTTTTATTAAAAACAAATACATGATTTATTTTGACCTTCAGTGGCCTTTAATACCAGCTCTGACATACAGCTGAGCTTTGCCTCACCCTTTCAGTTTCCCGGGGTCTCACGGTCACGCCTTGCCCACCCAGCAGCTCGTTCACAGTACAGGGAACCTGGGACTCCGGTTTTTATTGTCTTCAGTGTCACCTAAAACATTGCCTCTTAGTAAGGTGACTGTCACACAGAATCGGATTGCATGCTCATTCCTGGTCAAAGACTTGCTCTCACGAGTCCGCCACCAAGACGTTAGGCAAAATTGTAGTATCCCTTTTTGGTTTTTCTTAATTTGGACTGCTTTTGTTATTTTTGTTGGAAATGGCAAATCTGGTATTTAGCTGTTGAAGTGAAATTAAGACTCTGTGGGCAGAGTTTGAGAAGCAGTGTATTGATGGACAGGCTGTATGCCCTCAGTTTGCTGCTTGTAAAATAACAGTTACATTTTCATGGAGAACACTATTCCTCTCTGTTTTGGTGCATGCAGTGATCTGTCTCTCCTGCTTCTGAAACTGCAGCTCAAAACTGCAACCCAACTTCAAAACATAGTCATCTTTATTCTTATAGCTCCCTCTGCTGGTCACCTGGAGACAGAGCCTTGGTTCTTACTGTAGTGAAGCCAGCCCTCCTGTCTTCAAGGGGCCCAACCTGGGAGGATTAGTAATACTAAAGATGTGTGTGGTGGTGCCCACCTGTAACCCTGGCACTAGGGAGGTTGAGGAAGATGGATAGCCAGTAAAGGCTAGACTGCAGAATGAGATTTTCTCAAAAATGCAAAACCTGGTGTGGAGGCCTATGCCTTTAATAGCAGCGCTCAGGTGGCTCCTGTAAATTCAAGGTCTTTGTAGCAACTTCCAGGCCAGCTAGGCATACACAGTGAAGAGTGAGCTGGGGTGGGGAATAAAGTGTTGTTTTAAGAACTCACCAATACTGAACTCGTAAGCGTTGTTAGACCAGTGCAAGTGACCATTCAGACATCGCAGGTAACCCAGAGATGACTTGAAGTGTGCAGGCAGATAATACAGGTCCTATTCAAGTATCATGCCATCTCATGGAAGGGTCTGGGTTGTCTGTGCATTTGTGTACCTAAGGAGGTCCTAAAACCTGCTCCCAGAGGATGGCAGTGTGCAGCCGTGGGCGGCATGGCTCAGGTTCCTGCTCTGGAAGGTCTTCAGATGCTTTTTAAAGCCAGCGCATCTCCCCCGGCAGGCTATCCCCACAGCTGCCTTGGATCAGGAGAGAGGAATTCTGAATGAGCACTTTCTCCTGTGACTGGCCAGGCACCTAGTCTGATGTGAGCCTTGTGGACCTGCATGTGAGACGCTGCTTTCCTTCCCACTGTGGACTCTCAGTGACTCACGGCCCACAGCTGGACTGGGGAGACAGATTTGATTGCTGCATTTTCTCAGGCACACCAGAGCCCCTTGGACCCACCTAGACCAGAGCCACTTGGGCCCAGGTGTCCCTGTTTGCCTCTCAGTGCTCTGGGAGGGTGAATTGAGGAAGGGTGGAAGGCGTGTGGTCATGTGTCCAGGGTTGGTGAGCAGACACAGGACCTGACCTTGCTTGAGGTTTGTTTTTATCTCTGGTATGTCGATGAGTTATCCTCAGGCCCTGCTTAGTTAGACCTTGCTAGTGATGGGCTAAGGGAGCCAGGGAACCTATGGCAGGAAGCTGGACTGTGTGTGGCTTCCCCATGTGTCAGTAGCCATGTGCACACTGGGCTCCCGAGACATCTGTGCCACCACTGGGGACATATGTCCCTATGGGGACATAAGGCTGGTCAGGTGATATGAGAAGGTACCTGAGGTTTTTTTTTCTGCTGGCTAGGGTATGGGGTTTCAGAGGCCAGAAGTCGTAAGGTGTGAGAAAGAACTAAGGAGCAGCTTGCCCTTAGGGATACCTAGCTTGCCAGGAGGCCATGCTGGGAGAGCTGCTGAGTTCAGTGTATCTTCAGGGATGGATGCGCTGTGTATTTCTAGTGGGGACACATGGGTGACTGAGTGGCCCCTCAGTGCTCATTAGGCCAGCTCTACCCCCAAAGACTTGCAAATAGGAGAAGCAGGGTTAGGAAAACTGTCAAGTAAAGGAGGGTGCAGGATGGTGTGAGGTAGAACAGGAGCTGAGCTGCAGGCCCACAGGCCTCTGTGAGACACACACGCACAGGACTGCATCCATCGTGGGTGGAGCAGCTGCAGATTGTTGGAACCCAGGCTGGGTAGAACGGGTGCTCGGTGGGGGCTCGGTGGCCTGTGCTTCCCAAATTAGACACAGGCTTTTGGAAATTGTGGTTTCTAATTGTTTTCCTTCCTATTTTATGTAAAGGAATGTTTAGACCTTTATAAGGGATGGCTTTCCCTCCTTTTAAGTTATATGTTGATGCACTTAGCTTGTCCGGCACGACAGATGAAGTGTTCTCTGGTGGGCTGTATCTGAGGAACCTCTGTTGGAGACAGTATTGTCTCATGGACACTGCATGTTCCAAATCACACTTTTGTTTTGTGTTTTTTTTTTTTGTTGTTGTTTTGTTTTTTTGTTGTTGTTGTTTTTTTTCTTTCTTTTTTGAGACACACCAAGAGGTGAGCCCAAAGGATAGGTTTATAGGTCTCTCGAGGCTGGCCTTGAATTCGGTCCTACCAAATGTCAGGACAAGTGTGGGCCTCCTTGCCCCCACCATTCTGTAGCTTGAGGTCATTATTTTGGGGTGAACTATTTTCAGAATCCCAGCTTCTGGGAGAAACGATATCTGTAGTGGCTGCATTGGGTTTTGAGCTGCAGGGAGCCCCAGAACTGCAGAAAGCAACCTATTGTGGCACAGGTTTGAGTCACATGGGCCTTGAATTATGGGATGCAATCACTAACAAGCACACTGCCCTTGTCTGTTGCAGATGCCATAAGTTCCACCAACCCCAGGGTCATTGACGATGCCAGGGCACGGAAGCTCTCCAATGACCTGAAGCGGTGCACGTACTATGAGACATGCGCCACCTATGGGCTCAACGTGGAGCGCGTCTTCCAGGACGGTAAATGCCCAGCTTGTGACTGACTGCCAGGGAGGGCTCTTTGGCACACAGAGTGACAGGCAGATACCCCATTCTGGGTGTGGGGACAGAAGCCCACCCACTGTGCAGTATGGAGGCATCAGTGTAGGGGCATGCGGCAGCTCATGGTTCCACTTTCAGAGCTGTGTTCAGAAGAGGAGGGGACACTGCGGAGCAGTCCTCGATGGCTTATGTGTGTCACACTGTGCATGCAGTCTGCTCTGCATAGATAAACCGCTCCTAAGAGCTCCTGTCAGCTCCAATATATGTGGATTCGTGTTTGTAACTGCTTGTTCTTAATCAGGCTCCATCTTTAAGATGAAAGGGTTAAATGTTTGACACTCGGCCCTGTGGAAATTAAACTGGAAGAGTACACTTTGAACCGTGGAAAATAAAGTTAGAACTGGGGGGCGAAGAGCCCAGCCAGCCTGAGGAGCTGTTTTATCTTACCGGGTTATTATTGACTGCCCGCCTCTAAGAAAGTGGAATTCAGTGGGGAATTCTCCGGCAGGAGCTTCCCGTCCTTCCAAGCGGGGCCATATTCATGTCAGTGATGGTAATGCCAGCTCTAGGTTATGAAAAAGAACCTGTATGTAAAAGAGAACAGAAGGAAGGGGTGGCCTCTAGCTTCAGGGACTAGACGTTCTAGAGAGTGAGCTCAGAGTTGACGTCTTAGGAGGGTACTCCAGGAAAGTTCCTATCTCTGGTGGCAGTTGGGGGAAATCAGTTGAAGTCTCTTTGTCTAAATCTACATGTGGCAAGCCCCTTCTGTCCCTTTGCTTCTGTGTTGGAGATTGGCAGGGAGCAGACTGGGGATCCTTACACAAGGGTAAATATCAAAAGCCCTGTGATACTCACATGCCCAGGAGAAAACTTGTCCTCAGGGTTACAGTCTGGGGCTGAGGGCCGAGAGTACAGTTCACTCAGCAGAAAACCTACGAAAGATGCAAGAAGGTCCTAAGATCAACCCCCAACATTACATAACTAGATGTGGTGGCACAGCATTGGGCCCTCAGCACTTGGCAGGGGAACCAGGAATTTAACTACATTTCAGGTTTGAGGCTAGCCTAGGCTGCATGACACCCAAGCAGAAAACAGTCTTGGGACTATTTGACTAGATGGCCTGGACATCCCATAGATTCTCCGGCTGGGAATGTGGGGACGATGTCTTTCTATTGTAATACACACAGGGCCATATTTCCATGCTGTATTCTGCCCCCTCCTGTGGCAGCCAGGCTTTTCCAGAACTTTGCAGTCTCTGCCTCATGGACAGTGGCTGCTTTCTGACACATGGTCCTGTTCTGTCCCCTCTGTCTCACTCTGCTTTTCATCCTACCTGATGCCAAATCCAAGGGAGCCGAGGATGTCCTGGGAACCAGCATGGCATCTCTGCGTCTGCTGTCCCTTCCCCATTCCCCTGCATCCTCGGCCTCCTTAGGCATCTCTGCCTGCAGCACATGTTTGCAGCTGCCCTGCTGCCAGCCTCATGGCGTGAGTTGCACTGGGATTTGCTGTTCCCCTTAAAACCAGGGAGCTGTAAAGATTAAACAAGTAAACACTTGTGGTCTTTCCAAGGCAGGGACTCTGACACATGGCAAAGTTCACATTCACTGTTGCATGGCCCAGGCACCTGTGTGAGCTGATCAAGGTGACTGAAGGACTGGAAAGCCCTGGATAGGGTCACAGACAGACCTAGCTGAGCCCTGGACGGGGTCACAGGCAGACCTAGCTGAGCCCTGGACGGGGTCACAGGCAGACCTAGCTGAGCCCTGAACGGGGTCACAGGCAGACCTAGCTGAGCCCTGGACGGGGTCACAGGCAGACCTAGCTGAGCCCTGAACGGGGTCACAGGCAGACCTAGCTGAGCCCTGGACAGGGTCACAGGCAGACCTAGCTGATGGTCTGCTTTTATAGTTGGGCATTACTGATGCAGCCGTCTGCATAGGGACTACAGAGGGCTCAGTTCCAACAGAGACACCATGCTGCCAAGCCTAAGACAGGAACCTCCAGCCCTCAGGGAATGGCTGCTGTGTTTGTGTGGTCACTCTCTTCCACGACTTCTCGTTTCTTCCTCTTACACTATTTAATGCTGATGAGTTTTCCATAATGACAGGAGCAAGTTCTCCACAAATAATTCTGTAGCTTGATAAGCGGCAGCATCAAGGCCGTGGCACTGACCTGGCAAACACCAGGGAAACATTTTGGTTAATCCCTGAAGCAGCGGCATATTCTCATAGAATGCTTTAAACAGCAGATAGCTTTTCCTCACAGGCCTGGATGCGCAAAGCCCCAGTTCAAGGGCCTGGTGAGGGCCTGCTGCCCTGTTTGCAATGTCTTCACGCAGGCAGGGGAGGGTAAAAGCTCACAGAGTTTAGTCAACACAGATGCTCAGTCCCCAGCACACAGCAGAAGGAAAGAGAAAGAAAACTCGATTGGGAGATCGGATGTGACTCGGGTAGAATACTTGGGGAGTGAGTGTGAGGCCCACAGTTTGGTTTCCAGCGCATAAGAGAAATAGATACACAGGTACAGTTGAAGCTCAGAAAAAAACCAACCAAACCAAAAAAAAAAAAAAAAAAAAAAAACTTGATTAAAAGGATAGAGTTTGGGTTGCATTTGCCTTTTGGGAGCCCAGAGCCTTAACTAGACACTGGGCCATTTTGTCATTGAAAACCAACAAACCAGGTCTGTAGACTTGAGTGTGATTTGCCACATTCCCAGTGGTTGGCCAGCTACCTTTAAGAGAATCTTGATGTTTAAGTGTGGCCTCTTGGTGTCCCAAGAAAGGTGAATTGTAGTATGGGAAGACAAGCCACTCCCTAATGGCCAAGCATTCACTTCTATGAGCCTGTAGGGACCGATGCTTATTCAAACCAGCACAGATCTCACATTGGTGTTCCTTCTTGTTTAGATTCTTGTCAGATGAAGGGCTCTGAATGCTGGTGAACAGAAACTCCTCCTCAGAAGGTTCTGAACACCCTTGGTTGGGTCCTGGCCCTCACTTGCCAGGGAGTCCTTCTTTGTGGACAGATACCTATCATTCCTGGTGGCTGGACACGTTTCTATCAGAGTGTCCTTATTCTGGGAAGGTGTGCCACAGTTCTGTAACTGCCGTCCTGGCAGGGTTTCATTTATGCTTCAGTTACTGTTTGGGAAAGCAGTTCTTAGCCATTCGATTACCTCTGTCCCTGCCTGGTGACAGCTTACCTGTATGAAAATACTGGTTGGGAATGTGTGCTGAGAGAGGCCACCTGTCTCTTCCTGGTTATCAGGTACATAGGAGGCCTCAGCTTACCTTGCATCTACTGCTGGCACAGACTGAGATCCTGGAATGCACAGCGATAACCTGCAGCCGCCCTGTCCCAGAGTAGGGCAGCCGTGTTAAGGAGCCTGCTTATGTCTTCCTGATGGCATGTGTTGGAATATCACTGCAGGTCCTTATCTGGGCCCAGACATAATCTCCAACCTGTTTGTTACGCTGATGTCTTAGCGCCCCCCCCCCCTTTTTTTTTTTTAGCACTGTTTGAGAGCTGTCACTCAGGCCTGCCTAATCACTTCTTGTAGTCAGCTTCACCCTCATTTGGGAGGCACAGGGGCTCTTGCTTAGTTACTTCTGTTACTGTTGGTTTTTCCTTTGTTTATGAAAAACTGACTGTGTTTTGACAAAAGGATACATTCAAGTAAGATCTTTGGAAGCAAGCTAGCCAGCCATAGGTGATCTGGAAGTGTTTGAGGCATTGGATGTAATTGGAAAGGGGAACTAATGGGCCAGGCTCTGTTAACATACTCTTTGGTTCTGGTGAAGGAGGGCAGGCCTGTTCCTCACACAAAGGCATCTTTTCCCAGTGTTATGTGATGCCTCTGGTGTCCCACAAAGGTGGCATTTCTGGTACCTTCCTGCACTTTTCCACGTTACCCCCAATTCTCCTGTCCCCACAATGACCCCTGATCCTCAGCATTGAAACCCCTTAAAGACTCCTGGACTTGTCATAGCTGGATCTACAGTCTCCTAAACAGCAGTAAGGATTAGCTTTGATGTGAGACAGGAAGGGGACAGGGCTGATGTTGCAGTGACACTTGGTTAAGGGCATCTGGCATCTCAGAACTTACCGAGTGTGAGGTTCAACGCTGCTCTAAACTGCTGGAGTGGGAGAGACAGAAAGCATGCTTCAAGCTCTAGAGTTAGCCAGTGAGCCGCCTCAGATGCTTCCTAAGGTGGGTGGTGGCCAGCTTGTGGTCACTATCAACAGTGAGTGTCTGTGGCTGTCGCCATGGCACCTCACACAGTACAGTCCTATAGAAATGAGAATCAGGTTATCTCCCAGGCAGTCACACAGGCTCAGGAACCCTGCCCAGGTGGAAAGGTCCCCTGCTCATGTCTGACCCAGCCGTAGGTGGGAGAAAACTTAGTAGGTCAGAGTGGACCTCTCTTCTCTCTGTGCTATAGCTTGTGCATATGTGATGTAATTAATTTTCAGTGCTGTGTGTGTGGATGGTGTATGTCTGTGTGCCATTTTCATGCCTGGTACCTGCAGGGGCAAAAGGAAGGTTTCAGACCCACTGTAGTTACAGATGCAACTATGGTGACGGGTGGCTGTGTACGACCCCTTAAGTAATGAAACTTGAACGTGGGTCCAAGGCCAGTGCTCTTATCCACTGAGCCACCTCTATAGCCCCTGAATACATATACATTTTATAGTGACCACTTTTATCAGACATGATGCTTTTGTGTGCAGGTGCATCTTCAAATCCAGTAAATTTCCCAGCCTAGAGTAGTCTCATATCAGAGGGTTCAACCACAGACAGACTGAATAATTAGTATCAACACTAAAATATAAGCTTTTGTGTAATAAAACATATAATCAGAGACTTTAGAAATGAAAAGGAGGGGAAAAAAATCTCTCTCTCTTTTTTTTTTTTTTTTTTTAAATTGATTCCCAAATCCTGATATCCATGTTGTGCTTTAACCATGCACATGCCTG